TCAGATTAAAGTATATATATATATATATATGTGTGTGTGTGTGTGTGTGTGTGTGTGTGTGTGTGTGTGTTACTACAACAAAATCTAGTTTATATGACATTCTCAATTTCTAAGCGTTTTAATAGACCTCTTTATAAGACTTAGTTTATAGGACCAAAAAAATAAAGTGTACTATCTAAAGACGTTGTAATAAGTTTATATGACTTTTTTGACGTCGTAATAAGTTTTTTAGGATACTTTTAATATAAAACGTCATATTAGCAACTTTATAGAACACTATTTGAAAAACTGTTATATAAAAACAAATGTCCTATCAAAAGTTGAGTTTATAAGACATTTTCTCAAAAGTGTCCTACAAAGTTGTTAATACGACACTTTGTATTAAAAATGTCCTAAAAACTTGTTAAGACACCCAAAAGCGTTGTATAAACTTATTACAGCACCTTTAGATAGAACGTTTTATATTTTGGTTCTATAAATTAAGTCCTATAAAGCGGTCTATTAGAACGGTTAGACTGTGTTTGGTACATAGGACAGGACAGGACAGGACAAAACTCACCATCCCTTGTTTGGCACAGCATGGGACAGAACAAGAATACACTGTCTCATGTTTGGTGCGAAATGTGACAAGGACAAGAATTGGACAAGGTGGGGCAGCATGGGACAAAAAAGACTTTTTCTTGTTCCACCAAAATAGGTGGAACAAGATGGGATAAGAATGAGACAGAAACTAAAATATTACTAATCTATCCTAGTTTGATGTATAACTTTAATATGGTATTTGTTTTATTGGTCATTACCTCTAATTTCGGCTGTCGCCACCACTACGAAAGACCACCACCACCGACACCTCCTCTTCCACTATAACAACATCTTCAACCGCCTCCACAACCACTGTCCACCAAGTCCATCGCCACCTCTACCATAGTCGACCATCGACCACCACCATCCATTGCCACCACCACTACCGTCATTCGCCACCTCCAACTCCTCCTCTACTACAATAATCTCCTTGACCACCATCCATTGCCACCTTTACAACCACCATTGGCTACCGACCACCACCACACATTACCGCCACCACTACCACCATTGGCCACCTCGAAGTCCTCCTATACCGCAACAACCTCCTCCATGACCTCCACAACCACCGTTGGCCACCTCCAACTCCTCCTCTACTGCAACAACCTCCTCCACACCATCGGCCACCACCATTCGTTGCCACCTCACCTCCACCATAACCACCACTACAACTATATTCACTACATCAGCCACAACTACCTCCTCCATCGTTGTCAACCGCCATCACCACCACAATCCACCATCTTCATGTCCTCTATAACCACCGCCGTCCACTAACCACCACTGCCTCTACCTCCATAACAACCGCTCATTGCCACTACTACCGTCGGCCACCACCACCTCCACCATAACAAAAATCACCTCCACCGCCACCACTACTACCATCAATTATATCAAATTTTTCATTCAAATTTGGTACCATTATATATGTATCTATTCATTTATATAAAAATTGTGTACAAATATTTATAAATTAAATTATTTAATTATTTACTTTATTTGTGTTAACTATAACTATTATATAACAATTTAAAATCATCAAATAACTCTTGGAGGTAGCTTGTCTAGTTCTGGCCCGTCCAGTCCAAGTCGTACCAAACATCAGACATACTTTTGTGTTGTCCAGTCCAGTCTTGTTCAGTCCTGTCATGTCCTGTTCAGTCCTATCCAATTATGTCTGCGTACCAAACGCTACCTTAGAGATTGGGGTGTCCTATAAACCCAATTTTGTTGTAATGTGTGTATGTATATAAAAGACGATAATCCAATAAGAACTAAAAAAAGGTTAAAAACATGTGAGAACCACTACAACAAAATTGAGTTTTGTGAGGTCACTTTAAGATCAATCTTCATAATCTTCATAAAAGTTTTATGATTCCATGGCAGATCTGATTATCTTCATTCAAGAACTTGAGAGGAGAGGAGAGTTTGAGAGAAAAGGTCAACTTTCAATATTTGGTCAAACTCTATATTACGTAAATGAATTTTACAATTAGGTTCTTCTAAAATTGCACAATAGCAAACTATATATAGGGTCAAACTTGAGCCCTATAGTCAAAGTCAAAGTACATAAGAAAAGTCAAACACGATGACTTATACAATTATAGACAAAATTAACTTTCAAGACGAATATAATTTAACACTGATTTTTAGTCCTAACATTTTCCCCCTTTGTATTCAGGCTTGAAAGAATTTACGCGCATTGAATCTCGTTTGAACTTTGTAACATTAAGCACTTTATGACTTCGACAAAAACAATCTTTACTTGAAATCTTCAAACAATTTTTTGATGAGAAAATCTTCTAGCATTCTCTCCCTCGAATGTAGAACAGCGATGATCTTCTCTTTTGACAATGTAGATCAGAATCAACAATAATCTTTAGAAACAATTTTCAAGATATCATCTTCAAAGAATCTTCTTCAGAAATCACATAACAACATTCTTCCCAAAATCGAGCTTCTTCAGATAAAAATTCATAAACTTTCTCTTCGATAAGAAATCTTTATCGGTAAACTGTTGTAAGGATGATCTTCACATTCAAAAAACTCTAAGACATTGTAGCATAGGAATAATCTTCTGTAATAATCTTCAGTCGCACTCCTTTTGTGTCTTTTGCCGACTTTGATGTTACTCCCCCTTGATCTTTATAACAAACTCCCCTTATAATGTTCGAAATTGAACATTTCATTCATTTTTACATACTCCCCCTTATGATGAAATGAGAATCATTACATCATACACAAAAATGAATGAAATTTTCCGCAAAAGCCGTCAATTCATGAAATTGTAAGTAGATCTTTTCAAATCCACTTGTTTAATCTTTTCAGATTAAAGGGAATAGGAAGGTAACAACCAATAGACCGCTTTATAGAACTTAATTTTTTAGGACCAAAATATAAAGTGTTATATTTAAAGGTGTTGTAATAAGTTTATATGACGCTTTTGGGCGTCTTAACAAGTTTTTTAGAACATTTTTAATACAAAGTGTCGCATTAGCAACTTTATAGGTCATATGAACTCAATTTTTTATAGGACATTTGTTTTTATAGAACATATTTTCAAATAGTGTCCTATAAAGTTGCTAATGTGATGTTTTATATTAAAAGTGTCATAAAAAACTTATTACGACGTCAAACAAAACATTATATAAACTTATTACAACGCCTTTAGATAGGACACTTTATTTTTTTGGTCCTATAAACTAAGTCTTATAAAGAGGTCTATTAGAACGCTTAGAAATTAGGAATTTCCTATAAACCCGATTTTGTTGTAGTGAACCGATATAAAAATATATTTTGACATTATACTTTTTTATCAAACGCTATAACTTAACATATTTGTTAGAGTTCCACATCAGCTAGACTTAGACAAATTTCTCTCTATATATGTTGGAACCTCTTTTCTCTCCTGAAGGGCTCTTTTGGAAATTAATCTGAGGTTTCACATATTCTCACAGTATTGTTTATGTTGTG